AAAGAAGCAAAGTGTCAGTGTGTTAGTTTTCCTTATGCAGTTTTGAACACATCCATTCAGGTTCACACAACCCTTTCCCCGATGGCTGCTTGGAGACCTGGCAGCTCCCTCCGTCTATGTTTTCTTGAACACGATCTGGTAAAGACACAGCCAAAATCTTCTGCCTTAGGTGCTAGATGCCTCTGCATGATGAGACCCTGCTCAGGCAAGTTCATTTGGGCATATCAAGGGCTCTCACGAAAAAAATCTTGGTGGGACATCATTCTACGTCTCTGCTAAGTGGGGCTAGTTGACAGAGTTCTAGACAATTTTCTTTTTTTTCTTTTTTTTTTTTTTTGTTCGTTACACACCCTGTTTTTCGTTGAGACATCGTGGAGCAGGCGGCCTCCAGTCCCAATTTACCACCCAAAGGAATTGGTTGGGTTTCCCTTGTGTAAGTCAGGGCCATCAACTTTGTGGACATCAACGTGCTCTCAGGGTAGAAGCAGTTCAGATGGCGAGCTGAATCTAGCAAGGAGATCTCACAGTGTGGTGTCCTTTTGCATTCCAAAACGCAGGTCATCGTCTCTCACGTGGATTCTAATAAACCCCCGTCGGGAACAGCACACTACCGAGTCCTCTTGAGGGCAGGGCCACGGCTGTCTGGCCACCTATGTGTGCCAGGCTCTAGGGCAGGCACGGGGTGCGGGCAGCTGCTTGGTCAAAGGACTAATCAATGATTGCGCCTCCCCGAGCGCCCCGCCTTCCCCACCCCCACCCCAGCCCACCCCTACACGTGGGCTGGCGGGAAAAGAAAGCAGGCCGTCACGAAGCGCGCGCATGCACACACCTGCACAAGGTGCGGGGTCCGAGAGCAGTGCTGCCTGGAGCCCCATTGGTTGGTACCATTGGGTGGCAAGTGCCTACCAGGTGTTTAAGGCGGCACTCTCAGGGCTGTGAGCCCGAGCTTCAAGCGCAGAGGTCCCAGGATCATCCAGGATGCTAGACCCTGGGTTTCCCACCAGCTCCCAGTTGTCGCCAACCCCCTCGAGGAAGAGGAGGCGGCTGTGCTGGCCTCGCACGGTGTTCAGAGCAGAACAGCTGCGGGTCCTGGAGGAATTCTTTGAGGGGAAACCTTATGGGACCTATGAGGAACGTGAGACCCTGGTGGCCAGGCTGAACCTGCAGGAGGACCAAGTGAGGGCGTGGCTCAAGAACCACAGGGCCAAAGAGCAAAGGCTGCAGGGACTGAGCAGGCAGCAAGGCCAGGGAGTCCAAGCTGCCCCCAGGAACTGGGAATCTGCCCCCATCAGCCCTTGCCTACACCCTCGTCTGCAATCCCTGTGTCCCAGGAGGGCCCTTTGCTTCCTGCCAGCCCTGTGCTGTGTGCCATTCCTGTGCTCCCTGAGGAGCCAGTGTTCCCCGTGGGTCCTGTGTTCCCAGCTGGCTCTGTGCTCCCTGTAGGCCCTGGGCTCCCTGCTTGCCCTGTGTTTCTGGCCTGTCCTGTGCTCCCGGCGGGTCCTCTGCTCCAGGCCGGCTTTGTGCTTCTCTCTGGCCCTGTGCTCCCCACCAGTCCTGCACTCCCTGCCGCCCCCATATACCTTGGGGGCCCGGGTTTCTGCATCTGCCCTCTGCACAGACCCTTGCAAGTCTTCAAAGCAGCAGATCCCAGCGCTTCCACCTATAGCCAGGCCTGTTGCGTCCCTGCTGCCTCCCTGCTCTAGGTGTCCAGGGCATGGTTCCCGCTACACCTGATCTTGCTCCTGATCTGGCTCCATCTGAGGCAATAGTCTCGCCTCAGGGCCTCGACAATGTCAGGAATTTCTCTCCAGACCCTGATTTCACAGACCTGCTCTCACCCTATTGCTCCTCAGAGGAGCCCTTCTCCTCCCCCTGGCCATGGTATGACTTGATGGCTGGCAGCATATGACTTTGTGACTGACGTTGGACTTTTCTAGTTACTGGATCTTGGAGGGAGTGTGGCCCCTCCCCGTCCT